GAGAGAGAAAGAAAGAAAGAGAAAGAAAGAAAGAAAGAAAGAAAAAGAAAGGAAGAAAGAAAGGAAGGAAGAAAGAGAAAGAAAGAGAGAAAAAGAAAGAGAGAGAGAGACAGAAAGAAAGAGACAGAAAGAAAGAAAGAAAGAAAGAAAGAAAGGAAGGAAGGAAGGAAGGAAGGAACTCCGAGGAAAACTAAGGCTACACAAGGATGGAAATGTAAACACAGTACACTATTTGACTCTGCAACAAACGCATGATCACAACCATGGAAACACAGATGATCACATCTCAATCTTTTAGACTCAGCCAACAGCCCAGAGTGAGTGAGAAGACCCAACTGCAGTTACGGAACAGAATGCATGTCCTCTACCTTGATGATGGGAAAGTCAGAGCGGAGAAGACAGAAAGGCTGGATATAACGGGGTAGGAGAGATGAGGGAGGAGATGGGCCACCAAGAGAGAGGCCCAAAGATACTGTCTCTAGCTGACAGAACAAGAACTAAAGAATAACCATTTCACTGGACCAAGGTAACCTAGAGAGTACAGCCAGTAGTGACCCAAGTAGTCTGGGGAGAGGGAGAGTAGAGGTGAGAAGTGGCCCCAACTCTCATCTTTTAAAGCCATAAGTCAACAAGCAATGGCTACAGATAAAATCCAGAAATGGAAAATGGGGAAGTATGTTATTTACATTATTTACAAAGAAGGAGGTAAGAACCAGATGCACAAAGACAGCCATGGAAACCGGCACTGGGGATGGTTTTTCCCAGGACAATGTTATTGTCTCTAACTATAGTCACCCCTTGATAGCAGGGATGGCACAGGGGATTGGTTCCAGGATCCACTATGGTTACCAGAATCCACGGATACTTTAAGACCCATGGTCGGCCCTCCATATCCACATCCACGGAGTCAACCAACAGCAGGTGGTGTAGGGCTGTATCTATGATGGGAAAACATCTGCGTGTAAGTGGACCTGTGCTGTTCAAACCCGTGTTGTTCAAGGGTCAACTGTATATGTATGTTTAAAGCATGCATTGCTTTAAAACCTTAAAATGAAGAGACAAGTGACCAGGAGAGGCCCAGGCCCACCCCAAGGAAGCTCAGACCCCCCACTAAACCCTTCTCCCTCCCAACAGACTCCTCCTCTTCCCACCCTAGTACCAGAAGCCAATAAAGAGCTCAGAAACCTCAATGCTTTATAAAGCCCACTTTCTTCCACTAGATTTCACCCGCATTGTCACCAAACAGCACGTGCTAGCAGGAGCTGTTGGGCACATGAGAAATCAGAAAACAAGTCGGTCTTTCTGTTTTGACACAACCATCAGCCAAACTGCTCTGGTGAGTAAACTGGAGGAGGGGAATTGAGATCCCTGTGTGACTCGGCTCCAGGGACCTCCCGCCCGTTTCCTGCTGCTCACGCTCTCGGATAAGGCGGCAGCGCTGCCTGAAGATCGCTCTTTCCTCCAATTTCTGATAATTCGGGATCCTTCCCTTCCTCCCTGCCCCCCTTCCCCCGCCGCTTCCCCTCCCCCGCTTCCTCTCCCCGATCCAGACACCAGACGCCCACCCAGCACTAAGTCACCGCCCACCCAGCACCAAGTCACCAGCATCCTCCAGGCTCCCTGCCTCCTCACTCCAACCTTCCTTTCTACCCCCTTGGACACCAGGGCACTTTAGGTCGGGGGTGAGCCAACAACAGGCCATGGGCCAAATCGTTTTTCCCAGTACAGTGTCCCTGCAGCCCAGGCACACTCACCTGTCTGTGTCTGCTTTCGGCCTGCAGCAGCAGAGGTGAGCCATTCTAACAGAGACTGTGTACAGGTCCTTGAAGCCTAAAATATTTACTGTCTGGTCCTTTACAGAAAGTTGGCCAACCCCTGGGCTAGGTAATACCTTTCACCTCGCAACTGCGATGTGATGCGTCTCCCCACTGCGTTCCTCCACACGAGCCTCCCGATCCCAACAGATTCCAGATGCCCCGGCATCACTAATCTTCCCATGCTCATTCGTCCACTTTGCTGCTCGGAGACCTCAAGAGCGCCCCCTGTCTGCAGCAGCATTCCCCCAACTTGAGCCCTCCGCACCTTTGCAATTTTGACACACTCACAATCCTCCCGCACGTGGCTGGGTTCACGCTTGTATTTTACAGTCATTTTAAATTTAAGTCAAACAGAAACTCGCAGAGTACCACCAAAAGCAGGAAATCAGTAACACCTGCCACGCGCAGAAGGCAGCTCTACAAACCAACACAGTGAAAACCAAATTGTAACAGAAAATTCGAGGTAGGTGCCACGCAGCTAAAGCCTCAAGTCCTGCTCTGCCTTTGTTAAAGAGAGAGAAACCAGAAGACATCAAAGGGATGCAGAAGACATCTTAGCACCAGACTAAACTTGTCCTCAGAGATGCAATCAGAGGACTGAAGGGGGAGTGAGAAGAGAGTGAGTTTTTTCAGCAGGCGGTTCAATCGTATTTAATGCCAAGTTCATATTCTCCCTAAAGTCAGCTTGTGCCGCTCCTTCTGATGATCCCCAAGCCTGAACCACACGGGAATTCCCCTCCAGCCCCTCTACCGAGGAACACCAGCCACTCCTTTTTCTACACATTTCATGTGCAGAAGTGAAAGGAAATGTCTGGCTCTCAGCTGAAGAGAATAATCCGGCAGAGAGAAAGAGCCTGAAGCTAAAGGACCTTGAACGGCAGAACCATCCTCGGTGAGCAGACCTTCTCTGAACCCTTCTGGAACGCCCGAAAATGGGCTTAGGAGGGGGCAGGGAAGGGACCCTGTGGGCTAGACAGGAGAAGAAGAGGAAAACCACAGACAATGTCCTCAAAAACAGCCTACCAGGTTATTCCTCAAGCGGAAAGATTGTTACAGGAAGATCATCTACCTAAATATTTTCTTTTCTTCCTCTCAAGGCTACTTGAGCCTTTTCATCCACTAAATGTGGGCGTTGGGGCCTCAGGAAGACATTCACACTGTCTCACCTCCTGCGGTCATTTCCCTGCGGGCAGAAGAACTGCCCAACCCAAATGCATCTTCCTCCCACCCCAGGTCGGCAACAGAACCAACCCTCTGTCCAGATGAACCCAAGAAATCAAACAAATACAGGTAAATACTGATCCGTTTGGAGGAGGGCCTGAAAGCTGCCCTGCCCAGTCACTCCCTCACCCCCAGAGACCCTCCCAGGGCACCCCCAGGGATCCCTAAGGATCCACAGTTTGACAACCACTGCCCTAAAGCCTTCAGGTTCTCCCTGAGAACACGGCTCCCCTCTGCCCGCGGGGACTGCGACAGCACCATTCACCCACCAGGGGGCAACATACCAGAGCCTTGGTTGGAGCCTAAGAGAATGGAGGAGGGCGTCTCCCTGGAGCCAGAAAGGTCGAGGGTCTAGAAATACAAAAAGAGAGAGATGGAGGCAAGGCACTGGGGCCAATGTAGCCCCCCAGGGAAGCCCAGGGATCCATGGGGTGCTCTTCTCTGCCCCCAAATCACCTTCTTGCCCTCTGCCTAGTGTGCCCAGGTCGGGGCGGCCAGGTCAGCTGGGGTGGCCCTAAGCCTGTGCTCTCGTGCTCTGTCTCCCAGAACGGCCAGGCTAGAACACAGCAGTGGGGTGGCTCTTACTCAGCCCTACAGCTTCAGCATCAAGAATACTCACTGTTTCCTCAACTCCCTTCCCTGACCTACCCACCCTCCAGACTTCTGCCACATCCAAAAAGGAAGTACAGCCGGCCCGTGGTACCCGTCGGGGAATGGTTCCAGGAGCCCGAGGACACCAGAATCCGCGGATGCTCAAGTCCCTTATGAGAAATGGCGAGCACAGTGAGTACAGCGGGCCCTTCATATCCAAAGGTTTCGCATCCAGAGCCAACCAACCACAAGTGAAATTTCGATTGGTGGAAGCTAGAAACCCTCGCATACAGAGCGCAGACTGTATACTCCATCAAAATAACACCAATTCACGTTTATTTCACATTCACCTCTTGCAATAATATCAATGAACTCAAAGGATTTTTAATTTCTGGGATGACCCGTTTTTCCCCTAATACACATGAAATAAATCCACAACGACTAATTAAAAATGAACAATGCCCCACCTAAAGTGATGTCTGCATACAATCCACGTAACGTTTGCACACCTTGGGAAAAGGAGGAGGAGCCACCTCCATGTCCAATACCACACTCACCAGCCATCTGTGACTATTTGTATTTAAATTAACTGTAATTCAATACGATGTAAAATCCAGGTCCTCGGTCACACAAGCCACAGATCAAGTGCTCAAAGGCCACACGTGGCTAGTTGCTCCCCTGCTGGGCAGAGCAACGGAACCTTCCCATCATCACAGAAGGTGCTACCAGACAGTGCTGCCCTGAATGCACACCTGGTGGCAAGGAGCCCCGCCAAGACTCCGTCACTGCCACCTACAGCCTGATGACAGATAAACCTCCCACAGCACAGGACTTGCCCGGGTGGCAGGTCCAGGGGCGGGTCTGAGACTCTGCTTGGCCCAAAGGCGGTGGGATTGGGACTCACCGAGCCACTGTCCTTGCCCTTCTCCGCAGACGTCTCCTTCTCCTTCGAGGTGCTAGTTTCCGCAGGGGTTGCCTGCGTGCTAGAGGGGGTCCCCTGGGACGCCTTGTTTAGTGTTTCTGTGTTCACCTCGGGGTCTGCTTCCTGCTGAGGGGCGGTAGCTGGGGGCAAAGAGGGACAGAAGCCACGGATGAGCTGAGTGAGGCGACTCCTGGACCCACAGGGAGCCCCACTCTGCACAAACCAGTGTCTCCAAGAGATGCGGACACGGCTCAGCCCCGGGCAGGGCACGAGCTCACGCCCCGAGCAGCCACACTCCTCCAGACACGGGAATTCCAGACCATGTGTGAACATGTGCTCACTTTTAAGTCTGTGATTCATGTTTTATTAAATCATTCTCGAGCTGAAAGCATGTTTGTGGAACAAACAGCCTGTAACCGCTCTTCTAGGATGACTCATTTCATAATGTCTAATTTTAGGCCAATTTTCGCCCCATGGACTTGCTTTCACAGCAGAGTTGAGTGGTTCTGATGGACCACATGGCCCACAGATCCCAAAATAGCTTTGACCTTCATTAAAAAAACCCTGTCCTAGAGCATCTCAAACTTGGGTCATTCATGCATTACCTTTGAAAATTTTGCCAATCCACAGATATACTCCTTTGTCCTATTATTTACTTGAAATCAAATAAATTCTTTGAAATGGAGATTTTTAATTGTAAGCACAGAAAGCTAATGTTATTGGCCATAAATAAAAGCTAACTGTAAAGCAGTATTATAAACTACTAGTAGTAAATTCTAATTAGACAGTGTCTCCTGGCCTGGGATCTGCTTGCTCTGTATTAGAAAGAGATTATGAAGACAGATTAGTTCTGAACCAACACTTTGTCCTTCACAGAAGAACTGGGATTCCTGATTATTTAAAGCCTTGAGTCCAGGGTTACCTAACAAGCAGGGTTTCTCCACTTAAATACTACGGATGTTTTGGGCTCTGGTGTAGGGGGCTGTCCTGGGCATTGTAGGGTGTTTAGTAACATCCCTGGCCACCCCCTCAGCTATGACAACCACAAATGTCTACAGTCATTGCCAGTGTCTTTGAAGAGGGGCCAGACACAAAAACTGCCCCCAGTGGAGAACCATCGCAACTCACATGAAATTAAAGTGATCTGAGCTGTCATTATAAGACACGTGCTGTGGCAACAACGCCCCAGAGACCAGAGGTTGGAAACACTTGTGCCTGGAGCCTCAGCTACACGTCTGTGTGCTGCCTTCTCGTGTGTAAGGGTCACAGGTGGTGGGTGAGTGTGGTCAGGGCCAGGGGAGGCCAGCCCTGCCGTGCCCGCCCCGGGGACCTACCTGACTGGGTACAGGACTTCATGTGCTCGGGCCAGTGGGCCTGCTGGCAGGGGTAGTCACAGTAGCTGGTGTTCCAGCAGCAGTAGAAGATGGCCTCCTTCTTGCAGTTGGCACACCACTGCTTCTTCTTGGTCTCGTCCACTGCCTGCTGCTTCTCCAGCTCCAGCTGCTTCTTCACCTCGGCGATCAGCCGGTCCCGCTCCTGCTCTAGGCTCTGGCGCATCTCCGCCATGGTCAGCTCTGCCGGCAGAGGGGAGGGGACACCGGCTTCCTCACCCGCCCCTCCAGCCCAGGGAGTGTGGTGATTCACCCCCGAGCAGAACATGGATCCCAACAGACCAGGTGTGAATCCTGGCTCGGAGATGTCCCAGCTGTGTGATTCCCCCAACCCTGGGCGAGTCACCGAGCCTCCCCGGGCCCGTATCTGCATCTGTAAAGTGGGAACTCATCACGCGGACCGGACAGAGCTGCCTGTGATGGTTAATGACTGGTGTCTGTGACGGGGATAAGGGAAGCCTCCAAGTAAACCCTTGAAACAATTTCCACTTAATTCGCTTTGAAATTTATCATTAGCATAAGCCTTTTTTCTATCAAATACTTATACATCCCCTACTATCTGCATGTATAAGCACTTTACAAATACGAACTCCTTTAATCCTTATGCTAATCCTATGATATAAGTACTACCAGGATACCCCTTTCACAGATGAGAAAACTGAGGCACACAGCTAATAAGGGCAGAGCAGCGAGTAGAACTTGGACACTGTTTCTTCTTGGTGTGTTTAGCAGCAGTGGATCAAATCTACCAGACAGGGCATAGTGATTGATCATTACACTAACACGAAAACCATCCAACCACTCAGGCTACTGAGATTTCTCTAACTTTATGTCAGACACCAAGTGCATCGCAGTTCACCTGGGGGCAACATGCACACTGGAATAAAAGAAAAATAAATGGTTCCTCGACTCCTTAAAATTTTCTTCCTGAAATTTGAAGAAACAAAACACTCTCTAAAAAACACCAGTAAAGAAAACTGACCCCTTGTAAAGAGATAAAAAACGCTTGTGTCCAGGCACAGCCTTTCCAACACTCTCAACCATGGCAAGCTCTGCCCAGCCCACAATTTTTCAAATGTGCAGCCAATATTTTAAACCGGAGCCATTCTGCATAAAAATAGATTCCCAGACTTGACCAGAAAAACAAGCAGCAGCAACAACGTTCAAATAAATTTCCTTCAGGGCAACAAGCGAAGGAGCAGGAAGGAGGGGAAGGCGGGGGCTCTCCTGGTTGGCTTCCTAAGGATGTGAGTTTGCAACGCGCGATTTAAACATGTAGCACCTGCGCACAGGTGGGAACAGAACCTGACGGTCTGCCAGCATCCTGCCCCGAGGCTGATACTACATGAGGGTCTGAAGAAAGCTGCTCTACCTTTGGGGGGAAAACCTTTACAACAAGAAGTTGATCTATCGATAATCCAAGGACCAACATCACTCTCTCCACGACGTGGGGTGCACAGGAAGCATTCCAGAATTTGTTAAAACGTCCAACATTCAATGGTTATGAGGGAAAGTCTGCAGCCAGAGTGCCCAGCTGTGAGCCACGGCTGAGTGACTGCACACGTCAGTGCCTCAGCTTCCTTACCTGAAAACAGGGGAAACACACTCCTTTTTATCAGAGGGGTTTCTGTGAGAATTAAACTAGTTAACTCGTGGAAAAGCACTTTAGTCAGTTCCTAGCGCAAGGTCAGAGCTCAGAAGCGGCCACCACTGCTGTTGTGATGAATTTGTTGCTGCTGTTGGTGTTTTGAAGGGAGGAAGAGAAGAGAGTCCCCACCAGCTCCTCCTGCCTTCGTTCCTGGTGTCTCCAGGTCGGACTCTCCAGGACTCTGTGGTCTCCCCAGGACTGGTAGCTCCCCCGGGTCTACTTTTGACTCAATTCACATCTGGGCCTGATTCCAGAGGCTCAAAGAAGTTCACATCCAGAACCTTCCTCAGTGCAGACAAGTCCCCAGGACTTACCCAAGTTGTGTTTCATTTCCGAGAGCTCTTGCTGGTGCAGCCACTGAAGTTTCTCTATCTCAATCCTCAGCCTGCGGATCTGTGAGGGGAGAGAAAGACTTAAAAAGCACGCCTGGGAGCCTTTGGCCAACAAGGCTCGGAAGCTCCAGCTCTTGCTCCAAGGTCAGGCTCATGTGCTGCGCCAGAGCGGGCAGCCTGGCCTGCACTGGTCTCCCCCAGCTCCAGGCCGAGGGGCGGCCACCGGTGGGTTAACCCGAATTCGTGAGCAATTCTGCTTCAGAAAACCAAATGCTCCAGGAAAATGCCACTTAAGAGTGAAGATGAGGACCAGATTTTCATGATAAATACTACATCAAAGACTGCATTAGGACTTTGGTCCAAAAAAATGAAACTAAAACAAAGACAGCTTTATCTTTTACCTAACATGGGGGTTGGGGGCATGGCATACGGCCATAATCATTCACTTGAAATATCAGGGCCTAATATTTCTGAAAAATTATAGGGTATTTGGGGGTGTGGGGGAGTAAATTTGGAGCCAAATTCATTTGGAAGGGAGGAACATATAACCCAATCTGAATTGCTATGCAGCTCCTTACACTGTTTTAATAATCTTGGTTTTTCTCAACTGGGATCATTCTGTCCCCAACCCTCCCATGACATTACAATGGCTGGCGACATTATAGGCTGTTTCTGGCCTCAAGTGAGTAGAGGTCAGGGACGCTGCTAAGCCTCCCACAAGGGAAAGGATGGTCCGTCAACAGAGCACAGATGGCAGGAGCATCAAGGTTGCAGAATCCTGACTTATCAAATGCAGTGGGAACAACCGTAATGTTTCACTGCAGAAATAGATCTAATTGTGGGAGGGGGCTGCACATCACCTCTTTAAAATCTGAAAAAGACTGGCACATTATCAGGACCCAAGGTTTCCAGTGAGACATTCTGGATTCATACTTTGAACCACATGCCAATTTCTTAAATGAACAAAAGGGGATGAAGCATGGTGAGGGTGGGGAGGCTTTTCTAAAACAAATGTCATTGTCTGACACCCCAGCATCATCATAAAAATAATCGTATTAGCAAAACTACCCAAGGGGATTCTCCGATTTCTCTTGTGGCCTCTCTTAAACCTTTACAGTCACGAGGCTCTCCGTTGAAGGCCTACGGGGGCACCGCCCTGGATATTTTCTCTTGTTCGTCTGAGTGCCAGCCTCACCTGGCCAGGCCCTCAATGGCTTTACACAAGACTGCTCCCAGTTCTCCATCCTGACTTTCAATGACCTCAAGAAGTCCTGCCACTTGTCATTTCCCCCAGTGACTCGTCTGCATCTAGCTTGTAGTGAATACGCCCAAGAGGGAAGTTCGGGAGGTTTATTTTTAAATACATGGTCACTCCCTAAGTGGGCATTTTAACGTTTTAACCAGCTATTCCCTAAGCAATCACATAAATGAAGGAAGCTCAGGATATGAATTCCTGAACAAGGATCATGTGTACAAAAAAGTCCAAACTTCGGGAGAAGACGAAGGAGCCAATTTTTACATGGCGCCCAAAGCACTGGTTTCCAGTTTCACCAGTGGGTTAACAACTCGGGCTCTGGTTTTGGCGGTTTTTTTATTAGAAGTGAACTGATCGCACAGAGCAGGGCGTGTCTCCACAGCGCCAGCTTTCTAGCAAAGTGAGAAACACCCTCCCCCACAACCTGCATCAGCAGAGCGAGCTTGGCGACTGGAGCCGGGACCCCCGGGGGATTTGGGGAGAAGCTTCTTCGTGGCCCCATCACAGCAGCCCCCAGAACACCCTGAGAGCAGGCAGGTCCTCCGTGTGTCGTCTCTGACCTCGGCTATGGTGCTTCCAGTAGTGTTTTTAGAAAGGTCGTTATATATTTCTGTCATTGTGCCTTTTATCGCGTCCATCATCTGAAAGATAAAAACAGAAACGATTCAGGTGGGGGAGGCGCGTGGGCAGAGCTCAGTGGTAGAGCGCGTGCTTAGCACGCCTGAGGTCCTGGGTTCAATCCCCAGCCCCTCCATGAAATAAGTAAATAAATAAAAATAAAAAATACTGCATTGAGCTTCACTATAAAAAAAAATTTTAAAAGGAAAAAGGAACGATTCAGGTGATCACTGCCCCGAGGCTTTTTCTAGACGACATACACCTGACATCTATCTGTACAAAGCAGAGGGTTCTCAGTTGGGAGTGAATCTGTCCCTCCTGGGACACGGAGCATTTTCAGTTGTCGTGACTGGTGGAGGTGGGGGACGGGCACTAACAGCATTAAGAGGGTGGAAGCTGGTGATGTTCTAACCATCCTGTGGACAGAACACAGAGAATCATCCAGCCCCAAACGTCACTGATGCCGAGGTTGAAACCTGGTATAAACCAGGGTAGGAATCACCCTGGACCATGTTGAGGGAGGACCTGACAACCATAAAGCTAGTTTATAGCCACAGGCTAAACTGGGGAGACCGAACCTGGCCCCAAGATGGTTTGGCCAGCACCGTGGGTTCAAGGGAGGGATTGTTTTGGTTTTTTGCTGCCGTTATTTTTCTTAATTCTTTCCCCTTAAAAAAACTACTGTTTTATTGAGATAACAGTCATACACAATTCACCCATTTACAGTGTTCAATTCAATGGCTGTTAGTACATGCAAAAATGTACATCCATGACCACAATCAACTTCAGAGTTTTTCATCACCCCAAAAAGAAACTCTGCTCCCCTGAACCTTCACCTGCCCCCGCCAATACCCACCCCCAGCCCCTGACAACCATGAATCTGCTTCCTTGTCAGTACGGATTTGATGAACATATACTTCATACACATGGAATCATACAATATGTAGCCCTGTGGGACTGCCTCCTTCATTTTAGTATTAAGTTTGCAAGATTTGTCTGTGTTGCATTCCTTTTTATGGACAAATAATATGGTCCATTGTGCGGATCTAGCTGGTCTGTTATTTTAATGCCTTTGGTCTGGGCATCCACTGCCTTTCCGGTTTGTTTCCCATCTCCTTTTCCTTTAACCATCTGACCCCTGAAGGCATTAGCGAGTTTGTGACAACAGCTCAGGTCCACACAACAGGCACCCAGGTAGGTATCTGCTGACGGAATGTGTTTGCAGGATGAATTTCTCTTCTACCTCCCACTTGCCGGCTGACCCCTCTCACATCACAGGAGAAAGAGGTGGGGACAGGAGAGCAAACTCAGTCTCAGGTCTGGCCTGGCAGCCGCCGCTGTCTCCCCCGTGTTCTGCAGTTTGCCCCGAGTCAGTAAGAAGGCAAGGCAAAGAGCACCCTCTTCTGGGATGCCGGAGATTTGTTCCCACCATTGCATCTTCCCATCCATACTGTCTCTGGGCTTTGGTTCCCCCACGTATAAAATAAGGGTAGTAACAGTGCCCGCTCGGGGAGGGAAACAGCTCAGTGGTAGAGGGCATGCTTAGCACACACAGGGTCCTAACTTCAACCCCCAGTACCTCCATTGAAGAGAGAAAAAAAAGAAGAAAGAGTCAATCAATCAATCGATTAAAAAAAAAAAAACAGTGCCCCTTTGTAGGGTGTGCACAAGGACTAAATAAGAAAACCACGAGGAGACTGTGGATCAGCACCTGCGGAAGAATAGGTTTTCATCAAGAAATATCTGCTTGTGTCATTTTCACAGAAAAATTAATTCACATGTGCATGTAATTGCAAAACTGCGGCCAATCCCCAAAAAGTAACCCCCAAGTCACCCCAGAATGGGAGGAAAATGAATAAAGTTTCTGTTGAGGTTTCCACTCCCAACTTGTAGCAGAGGCCATGGGGGGACGTGGCCAGCAAAAACACTTTGTGCTAAATGCAACTTTATGGTCAGTCACTCGGCACGGGCCTCCCTGCCCACGTCAATTTAAAATATTAAAACAAAATTGCTTTACGAGAAAATTTTAGAAAGTGGATGAAATTCAAGACGTTCCTAATTCAAGAGTTACATTCCATTTTAAAGAAATCATGAATTTGTGGACTGACCTTCGTTCTTACTTCCAAATATAGCAAAGAACTCAACATTAATAAAGAGCTCCCTTCTGCCAAAACACACAAATCTGGGTCTTCAACTCTGGGTCACCTCAGACACAAAGTTCATCGGCTCCAAAAATATGTCACTGTGTTCATTTTCTTAACTGCAAAGAAAATGTCTATCAAGAAGTTCATTCCTCGGTGGGGAGGAATATAGCTCAGAGGTAGGGCACATGCTTAGCATGCACGAGTCCTAGGTTCAATCCCCAGTACCTCCAGTTAAAAAAAAAAGTTGTTCATTCCTCAGTTTTGCTCTAAGAGTGAAGCGGGTGAAGAGGTAATGGAATAACACTGCAGGAGCTAAGAATGCTGGCCTGGTGCGAACCACCTGCGAGATCCACAAGGCAGGCCTCTGTTATTTCTCATCTGTAAATGGACAACTTGGACCAAATCAATGGAAGGTGATACAAGAACTCAATTGCAAGCAGAACCAGAAGCCACTCAGGCAATAGCAGACATGCTCTTAAGTGAGTCATTTAAAAAATCACCCTCTTTCAATTCTCTTGTAATCCTACAACAGGTCACATTAGGAAGAAAGTCTCTGTCCGGTACCTTCATGTCTTTAACACTTTCATGATAAACTCTCTTTTTGACAAAAGGGAGGTGGATTTGGTCTCGACAAAGAATAGGACCTGGTGAGGTGAGACAATTTTATTTCGGTTCTTTAAGTCAATTGAAACAAAAATATTAAGTCAGTACTAGTTCAGGTGGTAAATAGATAAGACAAAAATCTTGAGGATGGTAACAAATAACTAACTAACAGATGACATTCTTCCTGTTCTGAAACCCAGGGACTCTGTAACAATTCATGTATGTTAGTTAAAAGGGGACAGACAATACCAAATAAGAGACAAAGTTATCCCCATGATGAGGTTCTAAGTATCTCTTTAGCCACAATGAATCTTAAGAGGGGGGGGGCTTTTAAAAGCCATGTGTAAGAACAATCAGTTTGTGGACACTGGACAGCTATGCTCAGCAGGCTTGGTGTGAATTCACAAGTCAGCTCAAAGCCAGGCGAAGAGCACTCTCTCTAGATCCCGGCTGCTAACCATTCAAATGCCAGCTTAGGCATGCACTGATTATGTAACCTTGGGCAAGCTGTGCTACCTCACCAGGCCTCAGTTTTCTCATCTGTAAAATGGGGTGATAACAGTACCTGCCTCATCAGTCTGTCCTGAAGACTAAGTAACACAGAAAAAGTGCTTGGAACAGTGCTTCATCACAGCAAGGGACAGAGAAAGCAAGCCTGCTAACAAGGTGGAAGTCACAGTTGCAAGTGGCCTAACCACAGAAGTGACAGCCCATTACCTTTGCCATATTCCATGGCTGAGAAGCAGGTCACTAGGCCAGCCCACTCTCGGAGGGGTTTACACAACAGCTCAAACCCCAGAGGGCTGAGATCACCAGGAGCCTTGTCAGAGTGCGTGTCATGCTGGGTAGGATGAACACTAGCAACAGCCACTGTCTGCGTGGCCTTTACTCTGGCCGAGACACTGCTCCAAGCACTTAGAATCTAAGCTGTCTCAGAGGAAGGGTCAGTCCATTCCACAATTGTCGGCTCACATCCCACCGTAGTTTGGTCTTCCCTCCCCACGCATCCCCTAACGCCTGTGAGGTCGTGACCCGAATGGTTCCCATCGGGAAGCTGGCCCCTTGCCCACCCCTCTGGGTGCCGGCCTGCACTCACCTTGCTCGTGTACTTGGCAATGTCGGCGGCGACGTCAGCGGAGGCAGTGGCAATGGGCAGGTCTGCGCTGATGGAGGACGCAAGGGTGCTTGTGGACCCTGAGCTGGTAACCAGGGGCGACGACTGGGTGCTGGTCACCAGGGTGATGGTGGAGGTGGATGGACTCTGCGTGATCTCCTTCTGTTGGACAGCTAGAAAGCAAAGGTCGTGGTCACCCCACTGCCGCGGGAAGGCTGCCCCAGCACGGAGCTGTGGGGAGGGGGCATAGCCCCTGACATTCGCCCTGAAAGTTTCTCTACCTTTAAGTGACAAAGGTTCTCTCCTGGCCAAATCCTAGCCAGGCTCCTCAGAGCCTTTTCTCGACTAGGCCCCCACCTTGGTCTATAAAGGCCAATATAGTTTCTAACAATTCAAGGCCCCATCCCTAGGGTGGCCCCAGCCCCCTTAAAGTGCCTGCCTGAGAAAACTCAAGGCTGTGAGATGAACTGCCTGTTCCAGACGACACTTAAAGATAGGGCCCACCTCCCAGGCTCTGCGGGAGCCTAGGAGCCTAACTTCAACAGGCAGCAGTGAGAAACCCCGGACAGCTCACATGGACAGACCACCCCTTCCCATTTCTCTGTGTCAATTTTCACTTTCTGACTCTACAGAGGCCCCACCCACCCACTCCTTATTCCCAAATTCTTCCCTTTAAAACATCCAGCCTCCTGTGTACGCACTGGAGCCGACTTCAATTCATGCTGGACTCTCCCCACTTTTGCAACAGAATATCGCTGATTAAAATCCGTCCTTACTACTTTAGCTAGTGCCCAGCTTTGTTGAGCTTTGACGAGACAACGTGGGAATCAGGAACCATACCATCAATGGCTCCTTCTTGCCAGCACGTGAATTCCCCTGAGGAAGGTTCATTAGGCTTCAGGGTCTGAAACTTGTCAACCCAATCTGAAATGTCCTAGACTCTAGTTCTGCCTCCACAACTCTTTAAACAGCAAGATCAGTCCAGCTGAAGTCCAGCTCTGCTTATCCAATCAAGCCTTCAGTCTGCCCCCCTCAGCCCGCCTCCCGCCATCTTTGAAGGGCTTCGGGGGGGGGGGGGGCTGGTTCAAGATCTGGTTACTCCTCATCCTCATATCCCGCTGCTGCTCTTGAGAGTCCCACTCACAAGGCTGCCCTCAGTACCTGACAGTTTCAATCAAGGGGCCCAGCCTTCAAGGATCTGAATGCGGGTATCCCTGTGGTTCCACAAGATCTATATCAGTGCTCACAAGAGTTGGGCAAACTGGTACCCATCCGATCAACACTTTGTTCGGCTTTACATCAACTCCAGGTGGAACCTCCCGCTGGGAGCTGTGATTCCACACCTTCAGAAACCGGTTCTTGATGCTGGCTCTTCTTGTACGTGTGGCTAATCCCTAGTCATGAAGGCAGCCTTTGCTGCCAACTTCTCACACTGTACCCTTTCCAAAATAATGCCCAGAGGTTCACGGATGTGCACAAGGAAACTTACACAAAGGTATTCATTGCAGCACTGCTTACAACAGGAAAAACCTGGAAGCAACCTAAATGTCCATCAGTTGGGGAATACTTTAAATCAACTGTGGAATACTATGCAGCAGTCCAAAAGAATAAAGTAGAGCTATATGTACTGATATGGACGGACCTCCAAAACATGCTGATGGGTGGGAAAAAAAAAAAGCAAGTATGGTACCATTTTTACATCTTAGAAAAAAGAAAAAATTAATATTTTTATGAAGTCATATATATACATAAATATATATGCATACATGCATAAAAAAAATTCTTACAGTTAACAGTGGCCGCTGAGAAAGGGTGGAGAATGAAATGGAAAGTCAATCAAGACAGAGATTTTTGTGTCTACTTCATCCCTTTCTAAGGAGGACATATGCATGTATTGTTTAGAAAATGAAAAAAAAAAGGAAAAAGAAAAAAAAAGGAAAAAAGCAAGTTGCAAAACAATTTTTAAAAATAATGCCAAATGGAATGCAGAAGGCCTCCAGGATACAGGGGCCAGGAAACCAAAGGGAACTGAAAAAAGAAAACGGTTGCTTTTCTCCTGTCCGTGTGGCAAAAAAAGGGGCCGGGCGCCACGAGAGCAGAAGGGGAGGCGCGGTACCTTTCACAGCCTGTCTGGTCTGATATCTCGTCCCCTGGGAAGACTGAGGCTGCTGCTGCTGGTTTTGCTGCTGCTGGTTTTGCTGCTGCTGCTGACGCTGCATCTTCTGCATGTGCCACTTTTGGGAGGACGTTTGAAACTTACTTGATGAGTTCCACACGACCCGCTGCACGGCCGGGGCAGTCTCCTTCGGTAAGAGCGGCCTCTGCTTTTTCACCGGGCTTCCAGTGGCGGCGGCGGCCGGGGCCGTGACCGTGGACGTGGTGCTGGTGGTGGCCGTGACACCAGCCGTGGGAGTTTGGGAGGAAGAGCGGGTGAGGACCGGCGTTTCAGGGGGAGACTGGCTGCCCGCCGTAGTGGATGGTGGAGCTTTACCTACAACTGAAGCCCGATGCATGAAAAAGACAGACAAAAAGTGGATTTGACTCAGGTTCTCCCGCAGGGTCTCTACACCAGCAAGTTCTGGGTGACCCTCCAAGGCCAGCAGGCCCGAGACTCCCCAGTGAACAAGCACATTCTCACCTTATACGTTTAAGCCACTGTGCAGCATGTTTCATCTTAAAACATCAGCCTCCTTATGTAACGAGCACCTGCTCACATGTGAGATAAACGGAAAGGCCTCTGGGGGACTGGCAAACCTGACCCCTGCCCTCAAGTTGCCCACCAATGAGGAGGTGAGACAGTGGGTGAACAGAATCACTGCTATGCCTTGTTTTATGAAGTCAGAGTTGGGGAAGCACTTGGAGAAAAGACCCAGCCAAAGTCAATCCAGAGTTTAGGAGAAACCCTTTGGCGAGGGAGCCTAAAGTACACGTACCCTGGAGAAGCAGACGGCTTCCCAATGGCCAAAGTACCGAATAACACTGAGTCACCTGAAAGGGGAAGTACCCCTCTTATGTCTTCTGATTCCTTCCAGAACAGTCTCAGTGTGGTGCTGCCAACCTCACACTAAAGGGAATTCCACCCTGAAGCCAGATCCTTTCCAGGCACGATGGTGTTTATCTAGAATTTAGGAGACTTGGTTTGGTTTTGATTGTATTTATTCCTGTTGCATCTTTCACCTTACAGCACACAATACTGTTTTATCTACTGTGTGGTGGTCAAGTTTAGGTCTCAAATGAGTTTAATTTTTTTTATGTGACGTTGCTTCAAATAAAAATATTAAGTCAATGATTATACAAACAGGACTTAGGAATGGCAAAAAAATAGTGAATATGAGTGTCTTGAGTTTGAAAAAAGCTGCCTTTGGCAGTCTGTCTTCTGGGAGGAGATCGGCTATGGAGACGGAGGGTAGGATTTCAACAGGCAGCAGGGAGAATTTGGAGGGGAACAGCTTTAGCCAAGACATGTTCAGGAGTAGGCGGCATCTTGGTAAGTGAGGGCAGGCAGTGAGAGGGAGACGCCGGAAGGCAGGTTAGAGCCGGAAGCACTGAGCAGCACAGAAGCAAGGGGGTGACCACGTGAGTGCTTGTCTGCAAAAGGGGGGTCGGTTATCACTGCAGAGGCCCCAGCCACTGGACAGGTGACCCTGCCCCCGCAGAGGGGATTCCCTGGGGTTCACACACAAAATACAGGTGCGAGTCAGCAACCCCCGATCTTAGACAATGTGCCTTGACATCAACCTCTTCTTAGTAAGGATTACGCCTGCCTTTGTAGATTTCTATCACCTGGAAAAGAAGTGAGCTTGGTTATTCCAGGGAGAACTTTTCAGTAAACTGTGGGTTTGAGGAAAGCAAGGAGAGTGAGAGGGAAAGACAGGCTGACTTTACTGACTTAGGGGCAGAGCGGGGCACTTTCTTAGTGGTTATCACCTCTGGATGGTCCTCCTGCTTCTCTGTGGAAGAGCCCACCAAGTTCATGGGCAAGAACACAGGGTGGGGCTGGAAGAAGAGCTCTATCTGCAGTGAGGAGCCCCCCATCCTTCCCTAGGATGACCTGCCAGGTATTGGATACAGACCCTGCCCCTTCCAGGGGCAGAGGTGGCTTTGAACCCGGCCCTTCTAAAAGCCCCACACCGGGCACTCCCCCTGAGCAGGGCTTCTCACCTGCGAAAGCACCTTTCATGCCTCCTTTTCTGCCATATAACCAAAAACTACACTGTTCTTGTCGAGTAGTTAGCCTAGTCCCTCTTCGGGCAAAAGGCAACCACAAAAAGATCTTTTCCCCGCTCTTAACTTGCACAAGCAAACAGCTGGCTTTGCGATGAGTCACTGCTCTGCAGGAGGCACAGCTGGTGCTCTTCTCCAAATAAAACAACAGGAGTGTGCAATCTGCAAAGACTCCCGGCTCAAAGCAATCTCTGGGGGAACAGGGAGAGGGTTTCCATTTAGACACTAAAACATTTTGATTTCTAGAGGATTCTGATGGTTTACAGAGGGGGGGAAAGGACGCCATGGAAAATTCCATTTGTCGTAGAAATTCGGAGTATATGATCACCTATAGCCTAAAAAAGGGTGAATTTCTTAAAAGTCAACACTACAAAAGCAGTGCCATCAACTAATCTATTTATTCCAATTGCATTAATTTGGTTGCTGTCTTGTACCTAAAAGGAGGACTTTGTAGGAAAACGATGGGAATGACTGATGTTACAGGGTAAGCGCAATAAAGGTCCTTAAGCAAGCTCCCCTTGCCTCTGTTCTGAGATCACTGGCTAGAAAAGCTGTTTTGCTATCTGAGGATTCATCTTCTGCACATAAGCTGCCTTCCTAGCTAAAGGTAAGCTGGAGGTCACCACAGCACTCTCCAAAACGTCCTCCACTTACTAAACTCGTAAGTCAAAGTACATCGTTGAAAAGATGCTCAACTGCAGAGTCTGACAAGAAGCCAATTCTTTAAGACCCAAACCACCATCATGGGCTCTAGATTTAAGACCAGGCAGGACCCCTGGGAAGCTGCTCTAACTGAACTATGTTTCAGAACCATCTTCAGCTGAATAGTCCACTACACACTTAGAGGCTCCTGGAGAAATTTCCTTCAAGTATCAGTGCAAGACAGAGCTCAGCTTCATTTAACCAACTGCAATGCTTTTAATTTTTTTGGAAAAATGAGATCTTTTAAGGGGCTCCTTTTTTCGCACTGATGGCTAGGACGCTTACTGCCAAAATGGGAGAAGGCCAACTTTGCTAACCCTGAAGGCTGGAACACTACGTGTTTCTGTATACAAACTTTCCCCGCATATCTCACTAGTCTGCCTTTAACTTTTACACTGATTTCTTTTCTTTTCATTTTGATTTTTAGCAATCTGTCACAAATCCTTTCTGGAAAGGGGAAAAAAAACTAGTCCAGAAAGAAAGGAACAGTATAAATGTATCATTCATAGGGACACTGCCATCTGCACCAAACATTTCCCACAAATCTCATGGAATAAACGCTACTCCTATTGTTCTCTGCAACATCTGAGATGGTCCCTCAAACCCCCAATTCACAACAGAATCAGATTTTTCAGATGCCATCCATAATTCTAAGGGATGGTGGGGTGGTCCATCCTCCATGTCCCACTAATTCTCTCTCTTCCTCCTCTGTACCATTGAGAGACATTTCATCCTCTTTTTTTTTTTTAAAGCTTTTTCGGGGAAGGGAGGTAGGTTTGCTTATTTATTTATTTAGTGTGTGTGTGTATTAATGGAGGTACCGGAGATTGAACCCAGGGCCTTGTGCATGCTAAGCACGCACTCTACCACTGAGCTCTACCCCACCTCTCATTTCATCCTCTTTTGATGAGCTGCAAGAACTGAGGTTCAATAACAGCTCAGGTTGATAGCAACAAAGAGAAAAGATTCTCAAAGCCCATCCTCCTCTTGCGTTAAGCAGTCAGACTTAGAAATCCCCAGGGGACACTGAATCAAGAAGTTAGCTCCTGTCAGAAGTTAGGCATAGTCAAAAATTCAACCTGGCTAGCCCTTCAAGTAACTCACATGGTACATGAGGTTTTATGGCTACAACCTCTAATTTGTCCTTAGGCAATGTTCCTCCCGGGCTCTCAATTAATTCTTCATTATCTTTCTCAGGCATGCTGGAATCCCCTCACCACCCACTTGCCAAACCAGCTGAAAAATGTGCTGACTGCTCTGTCAACGGGCGGGACATCCTTCAAATCATCCCCCCGTTGCTTCTGGAGGGTATGCTAACAATGCCTGGGCTGCGGCAGGCTTGAAGGCAGCCACTGCGGGTTCAGTCGGTAACAGCGGGAAGGGAGACTCAGGCAGTGGTTCTCAACTGGGGGAGATTCTGCCCCCCATCCCAGGGACATCTGGCCACGTCTGGACATTTTTGATGGCCACCAATGGGCAGGTGCTGCTGGCATCCAGGGGTGCTACTGAAAATCCTCAGTGCACAGGATGAAGAATTATCCTGCACAGAACATCAACAGTACCAAGGATGAGAAACCCTGGGCCCATGTCAGTTGAACACAAATAAGGTGGAAGAGCAATTCAGGCAGGCACCTGACAACGCCCCTTCACTTTCTAGTGCCCCAAGCACTCAGCATTCTGGTACCACCTACACAAACGGTCTTACATTCTAGCAAGAAAATGCACTTAGAGATGCCTGGGCAGCATGAGGGGAGGGGAGGGAGGCTAAACTCATAAAGATCTTCAAACTGAACACTTGTAACAATTTCAGCCTCATCAAATGTCTAAATGTTGACAAGCACTTTAGGGAACCGAGTGAGCATATTGGCAAAGAAGTTGCTTAGGCTAAAAATGACTTGACTGCTAGAAGCAACGACTACTTTCTAAGAGGTTTATGCTTCTGTGCTCAAAATCAGCCACACTGGGTATCGAGCAGGTAAAAGGTGGGCAGGCCCAGTTTAAGTCCTGGTCCTGAGTCAGCTAGGTGACCTTGAGCCAATCAAATCTGTGCTATGCCACGCTTCATCAAGTTAGAGGGTCACACAGCCTTTCAACACTACAGACTGCAAGACGGCATTCTGAAACCCAATCAAGAAACTGGAAACTGGTACAATCACTTACCATCCTGCTTGGGAGATGGTTCTTTGGGTTCCTTCTTATTTTTCCGACCCTCCCGCCCAGAATGGTCTTCTCCTAAATCTATGACAAGTTCGCTCTCTGAATCGGAGTCCAGGCCCAAGTGCACTGTTGGGGAATCCGTCTCATCTTTTCCCTTCAGCTTATCCTTTGTGGGGTGGGGCGAGGGTTTTGCTTTTTCTGCAAAGTCCTTCTCGGGCTGGGGGCTTGTCTTTTCCTTGACTGAGCCTGGGTCTGCTTTCTCGCTGGTGGGCGACGTGCTGACTTTCAGCTCCTCTTTCGTCTCCACTGGGTTTGCCAATTTGGGCTTTTTTTTGACAGTAGATGGCTCTTTGTCCATCTGAGCGCCTTCTTTGTCTTCGGCATCTTCCGGCTCATTCTTGGACTTCTGTTCGTCATCACTCATATACTCACTATCACTACTATCTGACTTCTCAGAATCCTCCGAATCGCTGTGCTCTACAGCCGTATAGACATCTTCTGAGATTTCATTTATGCCTAAATTCAAAAAGAAAACCCAGCATGTGGCGCAGTCACAAAATAAAGAGCGGGACCAAAAAAAAACGCAAACATTTTCCACACCCAATGCTGGAATTTAAAAAAAAACATTTCAAATCGCATCACACTGGCCTGGTGGGGTTATTAACAGTGCAGGCCAGCTGCAGCTGACTACAGCTGATAAATGGAACTTGTCTGGAGAGGGTTTCAGTTACTAACATTCAAAGATGACAATGAGACCAAACAACATGAATTTCGAACTCAATCTTTGCAGCACTGGGACCCAGAGAATGGTAGGGATGGAAGGAAATGCCACACATGAGCTATTAAAATGGACCCATTTTACAGATTAGAAAACAGAGGCCTAGAGAAATTTCTTGTCCTAGGGCACAAAGGAAACCAAGATAGGCGAGGCCAGAACCCTGGGCTCCTGGCTCACCACTAGCGCTCTTTCCACAAATTTCTGGAGTATTCAAGTCCTCTCCCTTTTGTGTCCAAGGGCTCAAAGACATACACCAAAGACTTAAAGCAGAGGCTGCAAACTCAAGAGCCCACAAGCAACATCTGGCCGGCAGACATGTTTTTTTTCAGGAGGCAGTAGTTTGACCCACAGGGTATTTTGTTATTTGTGTTGTTTTTTTTTGTTTAACTGATAACTCACTACCCAATTCACAAATCAGGAAATTTCACTCAAAAATCAAGATGGCGGGCTCCTGCTAAAAGAGCAGGAGACGTGGCCTCCCTGGGTCACGGGCCTGCAAGGGAGCAGGTGGCTGCGGCTGAGAAGCCACTGGTCCCTTTGTTGGGTGGGGGGCACCATGCCTGGGTGACCCAGGGACCCAGCCCCGGTCTTGCTCCCGGCACTGAAGCAGAGAATCAACTGCCAATGGGTTTGCATGGTTCTTCTACTTTTAACAGAGTCAAGGGGACCAGCAAACATTTCCATGTCTCTATCAAAAGGAAAAAAGATACAACAGGGGGAGTTTCACACACTCACAGACAAAAATGGGCAAAAAGCGTATTTCTAACAATAGTTCCCTTTAACCCATTTATATTTCCTGCTACCAGTAATGAGTGTCACCCGGCGTAGATAAATAACTCTATATCCTAAAATTTTGAAAAGAGGAAATCCCAATCAATTCTGTATTGTCTTTGTTCCAGAGGCATGGTTATCCTGAGTGGGGTCACTGTTGCAACCCAAGACACAAGGAAGGGAAACTCGTGAAAGAATGGGAGCCGTGAACAGTCCAGCCAACTGGACACCATCAGAATCATGGGTGAGTTATACCCGCCTCCTCCAGGGCGCAATCAAAAATGAAAGAAATCAAAATACAAAAACCCAGATGTAGTTTAATTTCTGGGTCCTAGGGCTGGTGCTACCGGTAACTGATGGTCGGGCAGCAGAAAGAGAAGCATGAGCACACATCTGACAGGAAAAGCTTGGGGACTGGAGCCCAAAGGGTATGAATTCTAATCCTGCTCCTCTGCTTCTGTTAGCTGTGTGATGCTGAATGAGTGAACTACCTCTCTGAGCCTCAATTTCTTCATCTGTAAAATGGGACTGATTATCACATCAACCTCCCAGGACAATCTAAGCCCAGCGCAGGGGAGCACAGGAAGCCCTCAGTAAATGGAAATACTATAATTCTTACTAACAACAAGATAAACCAAGGAGTTAGACCAGCTGCATGGAAGGACCCAAGAGAGGAATTTAAACGATCTGCAAAACTTCATCCATGCCATTCCACGTCCTAACCAAACGGGCAACCCAGCAAGGAGTGCTTTCCTCTGACAGCCTGGATGACTCCCAACCACAGCTCTCTCTCATCCAAAGGTCTAGTGCGCCCACTGATGTGTAAACCGTGCCTTGGAGTGGCTTTCTCTCCTGAGACCCAGCCATCCCCTACTTCTCTAGAAATGCCTTCCTGGCTTTATTTACCTCTTCAACAAAAATTCCCGAGCATTACTATGTGTACAAGCCCACATACCCTGGAGAAAGCACATCTTTACAAGACAACCTCCTTGCCCTCAAGGAGCTTCCAGTCTAGATGGGGATGGCTACCCCCATACAAAGGGACCACTGGGGCTTCCAAGCCATAAAGCACCAAAGGAGGCGGGCAGATGGGGAGGGCAGTCAGAGGAGACTTCCTGGAGGAGGTGACGCCTGAGCTCAGCCTTAGGGACAGGATTGAGGCAGGCAGTGTGAAGGCAGGCAGCATGGGGAAGAGGAAAGGAGGCAACCACCACAGAAGCAGGATGGGTGTGCCAAGCGAGGAGCAGCCCAGCCTGGGGAAGGGCTTGTGTTGGACACTTGTGAGCTACACTTGTCCTGACGCTGAGACAGTGACGTGTGCCAAGAGGGAGCACAAAGGCAAACTCAGGAGGCTCTGTTATCAAACTTTCTTGCAACCCGCACCTCGAGTCTGCAGGCTGTCGCAACCAAAGAATGCACTCTGTGGAATTCAAAAGGCCCTTCCAAGTAATTAACCTAGTCAATCTAAAACATTTTGCCATGGGTGGAAATCTATTTTAATTGAACCAACAATTCAAGGCTCAACCAGCTGGTAAAAGCAGCCAGGATCGGACTTTAATTTCATCCGGTGGTATCCCTGAAAATAATGATGACAAGGAGGAGGAGGAGGACGGTGATGTAAGAAAACCAAGAGACGTACCTAACTGTGCTTTGCAACTCTCTATCGTCTTGTCGAGATTTAGCTGGAATCTGCTTCGAATCTGCCGCTTGGGAGAGATGAGAGGAACAGGGGCAGACTGCTGCTGGACGGATTCACTCAGCTCCTTCAAGTCCATCTCAGCCTTGCTTCGATCTGGAAGAGACCCATCATACCCTCGTAAGACCAGGCACCGGAGGGAAGTAGGAAAGGCCCATCACTCAGCTTCCTCCTTGGAAACACACTTGTGAACACGGGAGGGAAAAAACCCAAAACGTTTTTGTTGTTTGTCCCAGTCAGATCGTCTGCTCGAAGGCATGACTGACTTGGAGGTAATAGCCCGAGGAAACACCTGGCAGGTCTACCCAGGCTTCTGAACCATCGCCTGGGTTGCTTTCAGCATTGAAAACGCACAATCCCAGCCGGACAGCTGGCTGTCTGGGAAACGCAGCATCATTAGGGATCCCCAAAGCCAAAGGTTACGGTAAAAAGTTCAACTTCAACGGCAGCAGAGAAAGTGACACTGAATCTGGCCAGAGTGCACTGTGCATTCCAGGCCCAGATCAGAGAGGGCTCGTATCTGAGAGAGGCGCTGAGCCCCCCAGAGAACACACTGATGAGGGAGGGGCCCAGCTCCCCACTTACCATGGGGACTTCATTATCCATTCTTTGTCCACCTAGCGTGGAGTTCAAATTACAAAGAAAGGGGCTTTAGCATGCACGAGGTCCTGGGTTCAATCCCCAATACCAAGAAAAGAGAAGACAAGAAACAAAGAGAAAAAAGAATAACAGGGAAAACAGGAAAGACAGGAAGACTTCCAGCAAGTCTGCTGTACCTCCCTTTGGCTCATCTATCTGAGGAAAGGGGAACAGATTAGCCCTGGCCATGAACCTCCTCACCCAGCTCCTCACCCCCACCCCGGGCAAAGGCCTCTGACTGATGACTCAGGCCCTGAGGTCCCGCCCTGCACTTCTGCAGGTTCTTTGTACAATCAAACTGGCCCAGAATCCAAAGGGTCCGTGAGCTTGTATTTCTTGAATTCCTTCCCCACCTCCCCTGCTGCCTCCTCTAGTACCCCCAAAACATAAAAAGGGGGACAAAACGGTGGTGACTTCAAAGGCCCAGAGAGCAACAAGAGACTTCGCAGACGGGAAGCACTGTCTTTTGCTCTGGCATCCCTGCCAACCAACCCTAAGCAGAGAATGCGAGCGTCTGCCCTGCCCTGGCCAAACCCACAAAGCAGGTTGTAAAGGATGTGGGCTCTATCAAGGACAAAGACGTGAATCCACCAGCTGTGAGATCCCTCCATCTCCCTGCTACCCAACCCTGAACACCACCGCCATCCATCAGGCTGTTAGAGACGCCAAGATACAGACTAAAAGCTGGACCACAAGGGTCATCCAAAGCCTGCATTCTCCCCACTCGGCATGACCCCCGAACCCGGAAGGGGACATGCCCTCACACCACACACCAGAGATTCATTCCTTAAAGGGGACCAGACGCAGTCTCCCAAAAGCCCCTCTCAACCTACTCATAGGCAACTGGAGCTACAAACCACTCCAATTTCATTTATCATCATAAGGTTGGCTGCCAGGGAGATTCCAAAAGTGAGTGTTCAGAGCAAACAGGACAGCATCCTTGTCATTGAAGGCTCTGAAAAAACACCCAGGTCTGGGCATGTGCTGACTGGGGGCTCTTCAAAGAGCCTATGAGGACCACAACTGAAGATGCTCTCAGAGAGGATCCACCCCGACTATGGAGTGGGGAGAACAGTCCTTCGGTTCCCCCTGGAGAAGCACCTTACACAGAGAATCCAGAGAGTGAAGCAGGGATAAGACAGACAAAAAAGGAGGAGGAGGACAGGGGTGCATAGGAAACAAGGAAAATCTGATGAAACAGCAGTACAAGCAGGAATGTAAGGACTTCAAAAGCTGAGCTGTGAATCTGACAGCAAAATGAGGCCCGCCTCATCACTCCTGCTCTTAGAAATGAGGAAGCATCCCGCATTCCAGAGGGGGGAAAGACAGCCTTTTCAAGCATAAAGCTGGAAATGAAGAATCTCACAAAAATACTTTCCGGGGTAGCGGGGGGTGGGGGGACAATGCTGCCCAAGTGATATGAGGACACCGTGTCCTCAGTAACATTCCTACGTAGTTAATATATTCTACACAGCAAATTATACCAAAACACACAGCCGACTATACCAGCGGTCAGCAAACTTTTTCAGAGGGCAAATTAGGCTCTGCAGGTATATAGGCTGCAAAAGCAGCCAGAAAATGGTGTGTTAAACAAATGAGTGTGCCAATAAAACTTTATTTACAAAAAAAGTGGGGGGCCAGGCTTAGTCTGCAGGCCACAAACTTTGCCAGTCCCTGTACTAGTCCAGTGACTGCTAACCTTGGCTGCATATCAAAATGGCCCAGAGAGTATCCAAAATAAAATCCTGATGCTGAACTCACCAGCCTGGGGAAGGCCTGGAGATCAGGCTTTTAAAGTTTTCCAGGTGATTCCAAGGGATATAGGTAAGGTTGCAAGCCCCTATATTGGAGCAACCTTCTCTATGAGCAAAGAAACTCATGATTTGGTTTAACCCTTGTGTATCTAAACCTTGGGGGTCACACAAATAGATCTACACATCACCAGAATAATCGTGTGCAAGTGTGTGTGTGTGTGTGTGTGTGTGCATGCGCACATACCTGTGTGTGGACGTACCTGTGTGTGGACAGTAAATGCAATATCTTAACTTGAGCCTAGAGACTGAATATTCATAATCAAGAGGAACGTAAAGAAGGTAAAGCACCTCATCCCACAAAATACAGTTTACTGGGACAATGAGCCACCTTAATGTTGATTCTAACAAGAAACCACCAAAAGCCAGGAAGGGGACTGGGACCAGGTCCCTGGGAGTGGACCTCCGGAAGTTTAGCCAAATGTTACTATCTTTCTCAAACTTTCAGCTGCCTGTGGCCTCGACCCTCCTCTGAAGGGAGGAAAGAAAGGCTTCTCTGTCATGTAGCTCCGAGGAGCTTATCCGGACTCCCTCCACCCCTGCCCTTCTGTATCGAGAGAAATCTGCAGAATCCACCCTTCCTGCCAACATTTTGAACTTTTCAGCTGATATGTAGACAGCTGAGGCTATAAATGGAAACCAGAGATAAAAAAAAATACCCACACCCAAGGGAAGAGACTCAATTTCCCAGCGCTGGAGGGAGCACAGATCAGAACCAGCCCTGAGAGGGCAACGTGGCAGCAGCTCCCGAAATGTCAACCACACGTGGCCTCTGACCCTTGGTTCCACTTCTAGGAAGGTACACTGTGGATTCACGCCCACGTGGGCCAAAGGGTCTTCACTGCAGCTGCTTCCAACAGCACCAACAGAAAACTACTGAGACTTGATAAATAAGGCGTCTGGATAAGAAAGTTGCTGTTCTTCGAATGGAATCAAACACGGCTGCTAAAGTAACGTGGCAGCCCAGCTCTCCAGGCGGTGACAGGGAAAGCCTGCCTGGTTAGGAAAAAGGAAAACAGTGAGTAGAGGACACGGGCACTGGGGTGAGGGAGAAGGAAATGGAACACAAATACGCGTGTTCTTAGGGCTTCTCAGCGTTGACATCTGGGGCTGGGGAAGTCTCTGCCGCGGGGGCCGGGGAAGGCGGCTGGGAGCTGTCCTGGGCACTGTACAACGTTTAGCAGCATTCCTGGTCTCCACCAGCTAGATGCACCCACATCCCAGAGGGGACAATGAAAAGGAATCCAGACATTGCCAAATGGGGACAAAATCACCCAGGCTGTTATCTAGAAGAGCTCTCCAAGGAGACTAAAAAGAGCCAACACGGAGAGAGGGATGGACAAAAAAAACTCAACAGTGGTCACCTTTTTGGGGGGATGGTGGGGTTACAGAGACAGGTGATCAAAGAAGTCAGGCAGACTGGCTTTTCATTAAAAGTCTTTCTGTACTTTGAAACGTCTCTCACCATGTGCGTTCACTACTTATAAAAACAAAACATTTTCTTTTTTTCTTCAGTTGTTTGACTCTGCAGAAATCAGAAGGCCAGCCCATGCCCACAGTGCCCTGACCTGAGTGAAGACCAGTCCGGTTGGATATATGATGTTTACTGAAACCCCACGACCTAAGGCTCCACCCAAGCAGTGAGAGGGACGGCCGTCAAAACAAAACGTTTTGAAATATATATAAACACTTCTTTTTCAGTTTAAAGAAAAAAATCTCCTTTATTTAAAAGCTGTAGGCAGACTATAGTGGATGGTCTTCCCGGAGCCACCAAACAGCGTCTCCTTCAAGAGAACAAAATCCTCCAGACAAGAGACCATGCTCTTATCAACCCAAGTCAAGCAGAGCTCTTCCCCATCTCATTCACTATTAAAAAAAAAAAATCAAGACAACATCTGGGAAACCTGGGGCCCCAGCTCTCAAAGAACGCCTGGCCTCCAAAGTCTCACTTTATGCAGAGAAAAGAGGCCTGGTGTCGGAGACAGAGAAATAAACAAGCAGAAAGGCCTCAGGTCTGACAACTCTCCACTCTGTCGGCACCTCTGACGGAGCATCAAGGCTCATTTTTGTCACTAACAGGATGGCTGAACTGCTGGGTCTGTTGAACCCAAAGCAAACCTCATGTGGGAGGTAAGAGGAGACAGGATTCTCAGAGAAAGCAAACCGGGGTGCAGAGGAAGGAGAGGATCACGCTGTCCCCTTCTCTCCCCAAGCCACAAACTCATTCTTACTCCGAACTTATTTCACAGTCGCCAGAAAGGCACAGAAGGAGGCCGGACCATCTACCAGGCTCAGTTCCTTACTTCAGAGCAGAGAAGGGGCCCAACACAGCGAATGAGGGCCCTGCGTGTTAGCAAGCAAGGCCAACCCTCCGTCAGGCAGCAGAATGAAATATCCAACTGGTAACCCATGATCTGGTTTTTGTATACTTGGTTATATTTGTTTGGCCCAAATAGAGTTTTTTTGTTTGTTTTAATGAAACTGGTCAGCTTTTAAAAACTAGAAGAGTTCAGGTAAAAAAATCTGAATCTCTGTTTATCTGGAAAATTCAGAGTCTGACAACACAAAATCCACTGGTGGGAGCTACTTCCTTTAGAAAAGCAGTTTGTCTTTCGTGTAATAACCCATTCTACATGGTCACCTGATCCCCCGACCCCTGCACACCGAGTAGCCTAACCCAACAGCACAAAGAGGCACAGTGGCCCCGTGAAAAGTCAAAACACGCACCCTGTCCCGCAGCGTTTCAGTTCATGTATCTCAGTTAACAGCCCAAGCGACAGAGCAGACAGGCCCGAGTCTAAAGGCCAAAACTCGACCACAAACCAACTGTGATCCTGGCCAGGTAACTGCTTCTCTTTGCCTCCCTTTCCACTTCTCTGCCAGGGGGTGATTATTTTTCTAATGGTTTTCACTTAAAGAGAGTAAAATTCACTTTTTGGAGAACACAGTGCTATGAGTTTTAACACCAGCATAGGTGCGTGTAACCACCAGCACAAATAGGACACGGGACAAGTCCATCAGCCAAAGAATCCCCTGGTGACGGACAGTCAGACCCTCCCCACCCCCAGCAATCACTGATCTGTTTTCCAGCTCTATACTTCTGCCTTTTCCAGTTATTTTTTTAAAATATTGTTTTGTTAGATATAATACTGTCATTATCATCCCTGGCACTCTGTCTCACTTCTGTCTGCTCAAAGTCGTTACACGGACGCCAGACACCATCAAGTCCCATGAGAATTAGTCAGCATTTCCCTCCACTTTCTGATTTTTCAACCCAGCCATGGCACCCTTCACTGGTCCCTATCTGATCCTCTTCCCACTGGGTACCTGAAATTCCAACCCATAAAATGCGTACACTCCCAATGCTTCCGTTCCCTCTGACAAAATGAGGCATGTGTCCCAGGAACAGGAAGAGCCAGCAGGGAGCTTCTGCACAGGAGAACCTGGGACTCCGGACTCCGTCGTGCCCACCGCTGAAACACAGCAGGAAAGAAACCTTCCACTCCCCTAGTGTGGGTCGAGTCAAACAGAAAGGCCCAGAACATCACACAGATGCCCAAGGACAGCCGGGCTCAGGGACGGAGCTATTGTCACCACTCATGGCTGGCAGAGAAGAAATGTGACCGTGAGAACACCCCCATACAGCTTTCTTTTCTGGGGCGCGGAGGTGGGAGGAGGGTGTGAGAAAGCAGACCACACTGCTGAGAACAATGAGTGTGGGGGAGGGGAGGGCTGCAGATGGGTCCCCGTTTGTTTAAGCGAGGAATTCCTACTCACCGACCTGAGCTGGAGCCCCGAAAGCCACCACCAGGACTGGCTCATCACGTCCAGGTGGCACTAACAGGTGACCAGGGTGAACGAGGCACTGGCCTCCGTGGAGACACAGGCTCGCTCCAGCCCTGCCACTTCTGGCTCTGCAATCCTGGGCCCCTGGAGCCTCCTCTCCAGCCCTCAGTTTCTCCATCCAAAAATGGCACTGCAGGACAAGGTGAACTGACCACAAGAGGCTGTGAATTCAGGCCGGAGCATCACTCCACACAGATGACCACCCCTCCCTTCCTAAAACCTGGTACACTGGAGGCCACCAAACACACTCCCCGTCCCCTAGTGTCGTTTTCCCCAGGTCCCAGCCTCCTCTGCTTACGTCTCTTCCCGATGCCAACATGCTCAAGTGTCCCGGGCCCCTCACTCTTTCTTTATGCTCTGGACCAGGGTCTCTCGACCTCAGCACGGCTGGTACGCGGCTAGATAACTCTCTGTCATGGGGGCTGTCCTGTGCGCTACAGAAAGTTAGGCAGCATCCCTGGTCCGCAACCTCTAAATAAATGAGAGCAGCACACCCCTCCCCCATACCCACCCACCCACACAGCTGTGAGAACTGTTGCTCTAACCCAATGCCATGTATAAAATCAAAATTCCCAGAATTACACCTCCTGCCCTGGCCTGGCCTGACTCAGGCCTCCAACTGCCCTCCTGACCTCTCTGCCTAGGAATCCAGTGTCTCAAACTTACAAAATCTAAAACTGAACTCTTGGCTCCCGTGTCTCCTGCCCTAACTAAATCTGTCAGCACAGGCACAACCCTGTATATCTTTGTTGGGGGCTGGGGGTCTATTCTAGGTGCTAGAAGCAATGCCCCCCCAACCCAGTTGTGACAACCAAATACCTCTAGACATCGCCAAGTGTCAGGGGTGGAGGTGGGGGGACTGCCCCTGATTAAGAATGGCTGACACAGGCTATTTCCAACACAGCACCCGAAGAGGTCCTTCCAGAGGGCCCAGTCGGTTCACACCCTTCTCTGTCCAGACGACCCCACAGAGGGTCCCCAAGGTTCCTGTGTTCTCTGTCCTCATCTCCCTTCTCCCCTTCACCCCTTCACCCACACCGCCTGGGCCTCTGTGCCATTCTTACAACACACCAAGCTCATCCTGACCCTCCAGCCTGCGAATGTCTTGTTCCTTCTAGAATGTTCTTCCTTCTGATGCTGGCATGGCTGGTTTTTCTTGTCATGCAAATCTATGTCCAGGGATCACCTTCTGCGAGGGAGGGCTCCCCTAACCACCGCCTCTTGCCTCTGCAGCACCAACCTGCCTGGCTGCCTCCTCATCTTATTAACACCTTTTACTTTCCATGACAGCATGACCTGTCTTGTTTTTCCACCTTTGATTATCATTTCTCCCTCTCTAGAACCAAGCTCTGTAAGAGAGCACAGACCTCATTCACCACTCTCTGCTGTAGGCCTAAAACAATACACAGTACATAATAGATGCTCAATAAAAATCAGGGCTCAAGATGGAATGAGTTAAGAACTTCATAGTTGGGTGTTTAGCATTTCTGGTGCCAATTTTTGTTAAAGACTTTAGCCTAAGGTAATGTTTCTAAAACAACCAACTGAAACCCAATAGGTTAAAAAAAAACAACTACTACATTATGGATGAAGACCAGCATTTTTTTTTAAATGAGAAGAATTAAGGAAACAAATATATCAGAACATACTGTACCACAGAAAGGTAAATACTGATTCATAAAAAAAAGTATCACATGTGTGTATACATACATATAACTTTAAATACATATATTCACACATATAAGAACTGGGTTCTCATGATCAAGGGCAAGCAAGGTTGTAAACACTGGCCTAAGGTATTTCACGATAAAACAGCTTGCATGTCCACAAGCCCTGGGAAATCCCTTGCTAGTTCCTTGTATTGCTCTTTCTTCATCTCCATCCACCGTACCTTTTCAATATTTTGCACAGAGGCAAGAATTCAAGAACCACACACAAAAGAGGACATCACAGCTTGCAGAAATAGTCACAGCTGCTACAGTAATAAGAGGATTTCCAAAATTCCAACTGACCCAGGTTAAGATTCAGGATGCTTCCTGTGGTGGCTGTCTTGTCTGTTTTCGTCGTGATTGGTGTGGACGCTTGAGGAGAGAAAGGTTTCGGGCTGCCGGATAAACTCCCTGCTTGTCCCGTCTTGGTGGAGGCTGGTGAAGCTGGAAAAGTATGTTACTTGTTAAAAGACAGATTTACAAATAAACATACAAAGCTTGTAGTTGCGGGGCGGGGGGAAGAGTGGAGAAACCGTGTTTGATTTCAACAAGGCCCCCAGAGCATCAACAGAGGCGGCTAGAGTGAGAAGGGCTGGCCATTTATTTCAAGCAAAGGGCTCTGACCCAACGTTAAACTGTTAAAGCCATGAAGGAAGAAGGCCTGTCCAGTCATTCTGTAAAACACAAAGCTCTAAGACAAATCAGCTAAGCTGCCACTAAAATTGGTTTGGCCCATTCACGGGTGTAAATCTCAAAATAAATAGTGATTAAACCAGCCCTCACCACAGTCCAGATGCACAGACCAGAGCCAGGCTTACAAATGACATGTCATCGGTTTGTGGGAGACACAGGAGCCGGCTCACACAGCCGCTGCACCTGCCAGGGGCCAACTTGACCCCCTGGGAGATCCAGGCTTCCCATTTCAAAGGTCCTGTGATGCTGAATGAAGTCAATCTCCGCACCAGATGGTATGAGGGGCCGTTGGTAAAGTGGTAAATTACCTCCCTCCTTACTGGGTTTCAAACTTTTACAGGAGGACAGAGAGTAGCACCTATGTCCAAGTCCTTTAAAACTCCCTGCTTACTGCTCCCCTGAGCTGCGTCCACCGGGTTGGGGAAGGGAGGACAGAAACCAAACCACTTAACAAAGCAAGAGTTCAGATGGGCCAGCTGGAGCCTCCAGCCATCCTTCAGACCCTGCTGCTTTGCACAAAGGGTTCCATATTATTGGGATGGTCCCAACAGTATAACCATGCGAGAGGCAACCAGATGGCCAGCTCCCCTCAGATGCACAGGAAACACTGAGAGCGCTGTTGACAGCGACGGGGTTGCGAGTCAGGACTCTACAAGTGCTTGGACGCTCTGGGGGCTCTTGCCTCAGTTTCCTCACCTGCTAAACGGGGATCCTCAGAGTAAAGATTCAGAAGGTTAAACTATACACCAGCTTGACCAGTCAATGTGTGTGAGCCAGCCTCAGCTCCAGGGTCAGGACCCGCCAATACTAGTGTTAACGTGATAAGAGTGGGAAAGACTCTAGACGGAGAGAGAAGTGGGTTCCAGCATGGATGGGGAACAAGACGTGAGGTTCAAGTACCAGCTCTGTGGCCAACGTGCTGGGTGACCTTGGGCAAGTGACCTGGTGTCTCTGAATCTCCTTTCCTGGTAGCTATAAGAAGATACTGGTATATAATGCAAAAGGATTGACAAAACTACCTAACTCCTCAAGTTGTAAGGATCAAATAAATTAATCAATTATCTAAGCAGTGCCTGACAGCTATCAAATACTATGTCATCATTTGTTATTAATATAGTATAATTTTCTATTTCCCCATTAACCTCTAAGTTTTTGGTTTCAATCATCCAAACCAGTGGTTCTCAGCCAGGAGTGATTTTTTTTTTTAAATGGATTTGTCTCTTCTTATATCACTTTCCTTCTCTTTCTAAAAAAAAATTTTTTTAATTTTTTTTTATTTTGTTTTGTTCGGGTTTCTTTGGGGAGGTAATTAGGTTTGTTTATTTATCTGTTTGTTTATTTTAATGTTGGTACTGGGGCTTGAACCCAGGACCTCATGCACACTAAGCACGCACCCTACCACTGAGACGAATGCCGGTTTCCCACGGAGATGGGTCTGTCTCTAGTTCACTTCCCACCCAGTTACCAAAGGGCAGGGGTCACCCTCACAGGCATCTGGTACCACAGTGCTTCATGTCACTGGGAGCAGGACAGCATCTCGGGGTCACCTAGCAACCCCAGGTCCCACACTGCAGAACTCTCCTCTGAGAAAGCAATGGCCCATGCTCACCCCTGGGGGCCATCTATCGCACCTCCCCAATTTATGGAACACCTATACCTGCCTTGACCCATTAGGAAATGTACAACCACTCACCCCATTGTTCAAGGTCAAGCACATCTACACAGCCTCAATTCCTCCTCTGCTCTCCTGCCTCGACTTACCCAACCCTTCAGCAAGGCCTCTGCACACCACTTCGAAAACATACCCCCTCTCCCCACTCATCTCCATCTCCAAATGGAGATCTTACTTTTTTTTATTTATAAAGCACAGATACATGCGGAGTACGCAGAAAGACATACCATACTTTTAAGTTTTGTGAGCGTCCACGCCTGGGATGTAGACCCGAAAGAAGTGAAAAACCTGCACTCAAAACAAATCCTCAAAGCAGCACTATTCATGAAAGCCCAGAGGCGGAAGCAACCCAAATGTCCATCAAGAGACAGACAAGCCATGGGAAAAAGACAAGGTTCTGTGATGCGTGCTGCAGTGCGGGTGACCTTAAGGATGTCACACTAGGTGGAAGGAGCCAGACACAACGGTCACGTTTTGTGGGATTTCACTAAATGAAATATCCAAAAGGGCACATCTGTACAAAGAGAATTAGATTTGTGACTGCCAGGGGCGAGTGGTAAAGTGCAGGGGTGGAGGCTCGAGGGGCAGGGATGGGAATTGGCCACTAACAGGTACAGGGTTTTGTTCTGGGGTGATGGAAATGTTTTGGAACTAGGTAATAGTGGTGGTTGCACAATATTATGAATGTACTAAATACCACTGAACTGTTTACTCTAAAATGATTAATTTTCTGTTACGTGAATCTCATCCCCATTTAAAACAATATTCATGGGAACCAGGAAGAAAGTGTCTAGAAGGGCTCCTTAGTGGGTAATAATGAAAAGAAAGGTTGGGAAACACTGTCCTTGCCCATCACTTCCCACAGAGCCCCTGTAAGAGCTTCCCACGGGTCCCCCTACCGCCTGCCACAGCACGCCTCTTCCCGGGCACCTGCACACGGCAGCCAGGGCGGTGCCTTAAACCAGGAGAGAGGCTACATCACTCCTCCATCTAAAACCACCCAGGGCACCCTCCCCACCACCTCACCCCTACCGCTGAGTAAACTCCAAAAGCACATCCGACCTTCCCTGGCCTCATTCCGGAATCTCCAGCCACATGGCCTCTCACGCTGTTCCTCCAAGATCAAGCCTGCTCCCACATCAAGCCTTTACACTTGGGATTTCCGAGGAAAGATCACCCTCACCAAACTCCCACCCAGATCATACTGGCTGGCAATCCTCAAGGTTTCGTTCCAGCTCAAACACCACCTCCTGGGAGCCCTCCCTTGCTGGCCCCACTAAGGTGGCTCAAGTGTCCTTCGTTTACTGTCTCCCTTTGGCCACGAGAACGCCAGCTCCGGGAGAGCAGGCTCCTCGCCAGCCTCGGACGCCGCCAGGCACCTAGGATGCTATCAGGCACCTGAGGCATTTACAGAAACACGAGCAAACACATGAGACAGTTAACTGAAGAATGAGGTCTCCGTTTCTCGTCTCATTACTGTGCTCACGATTAGCAATAAAAAGAAAGGATAATGACAACCAAAATCAGATCTCTTCCACACAAAGGTGCCAATTTAAACCATCTCCTCAATATTCTGCAGCTACTGAAAACAAGGTGTGCTGAGTGATTAAGCATCCAAAGAAGAAACACGAATAAGCAGCTCACAGAAGAATACAGACGGTCACGAAGAGTGTCCAGAGAGAATCCTGAGCTCAACAGGGGGCATGGAGGTATATGGATGTACCTCCATCCTACATCCTTTTCACCTGCATGTTTCAAAAAGTAACACCTAGTGTTCAGGACAGGTGAGGAAAGAGGAACACTCACAGGCATCCAAAACCTTATTTAGGAGAGCAATTAGGGGATATTTGATACTACCCAAAATTAAAGTGTATACAATACATGGACCCCAAATCTCCACTGCTACGAATTCACCCCACAGATATACAGGTAGAAATGTCTCCAATATGGTATATGCATGAGAGGGCCCACTGCAGCAGTATTTAAAACAGTAAAGGAATGGAAGATGGCTTATAAATGCCTCTAAGTTAGAGACTGGCTAAATGAATGCTATAAATACCATACAACCCTTACAAAGAATGATGCACACCTCCAGGCGGACAAAAATATGTGTGGGGAAAAAAGAGAAAGGTAGAATCAAGCATGTAAATGTTTTTTTAAAGTGTACACACATCTTTGAATGAATGTATACTTTTTTTTCTAGCAGCACATTCCATAATCATGGTAAACTTGGGAGAAAAACTAGAGCTCAGAATGTGGGTATAAAAAAAACTTTCACTTTTATTTTATGCCTTTCTATACTGCTCTAATATTGCTGGGTTTTGTTTCGTTGTTTTAATTACAAATGTGCACACAACACTCCCATTATTTAAAAAAAAAGTCAGGCGAAGGGTATAGCTCAGTGGTAAGAGCACATGCTTTGCATTCACAAGGTCCTGGGTTCAATCCCCAGAACCTCCATTAAAAAAAAAAAAGTCAACTAGAGACATTTAGATTATGGGCCATTTTGCCCTTTTAAAAATGCTTTTACTGTGGTTTTGCGGGGGGGGGGGAGGGGACTTTAAAACAGATGTAAAAATATATTTGTTAATATTAAAAAAACACAAAGGGAGAGGAATTCTGTAACTGTATGACTCTAGGATGTTCAATAGATATGTTGTTGAAGACTTTTATTCATGTCCATCTAACGTAAAATACTTAACTGGCCGAAATGTCCACAGCATTGGGAATCAGAAACCTAGCAAGGAATATATATATATATATATATAAAATTCACATGAAGAAAACAAATCAATATATCTGTGGAAAATACTTGCATTTGTATTACTTCATAAAATCTGGTTTCTTCCCCAAGAAAAGTTTCTCAAAATTCAGTCATTCATATGTCCCCATCATTGGTCATATTTATGTACCACCTGCCTACTACTGACAGTTAGAACTATGTGTACTCACATAGAAAGATGTCAAAGAAACATCGCTAAGTTGAAAAAAGCAAAAAGTTGAGTATGATCCCCTTCCATCACACACACAATTATTATCATTGTCATCATCAATGTGATCATATTCATTAAAAAATCTG